ACTCTTTCCCCAATCTATTTAAGACTTTGTAGTTACTATTTGTACCATTCCTTTCAACACATCAAGTATCATCATTCGCATCCTTCTGTAACACTATTTTCAGATCCAACAGCTCACAAGAACGTGAAGACCCTCGTCTCTCAGTTACTACCCATGTTCATTTATGAAACTCTGACTGCTTTAGAAGAAAAACCAGATCTCCCAGAGCTGCAAGTTAAAAGTTTCAGAGTTTTACAAACCGAAGCTACTATTTCTTCTTTCTTCACCCTCCTTGCCCATTCTCTCTACCTATCCACCCTTCACTGTAGATTATTCAAATTCTTCCATTTTTATGTATTTCATGCTACCAAAAACGGCAAAGAATTGGAAAATGAGAACATTTGCCAGGCAGCAGTCAGGAAGCTATTTCTAATTAAAAAATAATAATAATAAAACAGGTTTGACCTACAAGAGAGAAAATAACCAACATAAGGTAGGACAAACTGATCCTCAAACTCTTATTAAACATGGCCACAGTTTCAATTACCTAAGGAGTCTCTCCGGTCTCCTTATCCAGGTCTGATTTTTCTGACAAGTCTGGTATTTCTAACTTCCTACTGAGCATTTCCAACTTTTTTTTTTTTCCAAGCTCAATTCCATGGCACCACCCTCAAGTGCTCTCTCTTCTTTCCATCCTCTCTGTCAAACATCTAGTGCCTCTTAGTCATCGAGTCTTGTCAGGAGCCCCTTTTAACTCCTATTTCCCATTCTGATGAAATCCCATTGTTCCTTGCTCTCCTTGGGGCCCTCAATGGGTGGACCCTGCATTAGCCCAGACTTGTTCTTTCTTTCATCCTATCCAGGATTATATAGAGTGTCGACCACCAAGCTAACACTTCTTAAAAATGTTTTCATGAAGAAAACAAAATTCAATAAAATATCTTTTTCTGGTGGTGCAAAGGTTTTAAAAAACTGGAGAAACTGCAATAAATATTTGCTGGACACTGATTGCTAAGTGTAAGTCAGATACAGTAGACGCTTGAGAATTGGATAAGACCTTGATTTATTTCCTACTATTCCCCACCCCCCCAGCCCCATACAGCTTGGAAGTTGCTAAAGAAAATAGTTGAACTGCTGTCATGGGACAAACGAGAACTTCTCTACCTTCTCCACCTGTTACAAATCCTTCAAGGTTAACTCAAATCTTTCTTCATCTATACCTCCTAGTATGAAGAACTCTTCCCTGACAACTCCAATAGCTATTAATGTCTAGACCATTCATTTGGAAATTAATTAGGCAACACTTTGGCAACATCTCTTCTGCTAGTGCCTTGAATTGGTTTTTATATATTTCATTATTTTATTTTCTATATGTGTATTCTTGGTCCTTTGAGTAGATTATAATCTTATTGAGGATGTGTACTAAATATTTTGGGGTCTCAAAAATTGCTTAAAATAGTGAATGCTCACAAAGAAATGAATTTTATTTTTATGCCTTTCACACCCTAATTCTAGCTCATTTTTTTAAACTACCAATTGTTTGTGGAATTGCAATTATATAATTGCAACTGTATAACTGAATGGTATATCATACCATTCTTTGCTGTAAATATATATTACAGATCATCTGTAATGCAGTCCTGTATGTTTTACTAAGAATTAATGTAAAGCAAAATATTATTTTAATTCTTCAAAATACAGTATCAATAGCAGCATTATCATAGATTTCATGGCCATACAATAATAGAAAATTGGATTAGGTATTAAAATCCATCTAGACTGTTCAGTTGGGTTCATTTTTTGTTTTTGTTTTTATTTGTTAATTGAACTTTACTTGCTTTGCTTTGAGTTATAATTTGTGAGCTTTACTTTATCTCCTGTCCCAACTAGATCATAAATTCCTAGTAAGTAGGGACTATCTAGTAATCATTAATTTTTTTAAAGAGCCTATTGACAAGATTATAGTTCATTTTCCTTTCAGTCTAATTTTACTAAAAACCATTTTAACCAAAAATTCAAAAAAGACAAACGTAGGAAATGTGTTTAAATGCTCATGTTTTTCAACACACTGAAAAAGAAAAATTCTAGCATTAAAATTTTTAAAAATCAAATATTCACCTGTACTCTTATAGACCATATAATTTTATTAATACAATTAACTATTTGTTTTCCCTGTTCCTTACTCCTAAAAATATTTCAAAAACAAAACAAAGCAGTAAATGTTTAGAAAGGATTAGAAAACTGTTTCTTCTAAATATTATAACTTTAGCTTTAAAATTACATGGATGGAACTAGAGGGTATTATGCTAAGCGAAGTAAGTCAATCAGAGAAAGACATGTATCATGTGATCTCACTGATATGAGGAATTCTTAATCTCAGGAAAGAAACTGAGGGTTGCTGGAGTGGTGGGGGTGGGAGGGATGGGGTGGCTGGGTGATAGACATTGGGAAGGGTATGTGCTATGGTGAACGCTGTGAATTGTGTAAGACCGTTGAATCACAGACCTGTACCTCTGAAAAGAATAATACATTATATGTTAAAAAAAAAAAGAAGATAGTAGGAAGGGAAAAATGAAGGGGGGGAATCGGAGGGGGAGACGAACCATGAGAGACGATGGACTCTGAAAAACAAACTGAGGGTTCTAGAGGGGAGGGGGGTGGGAGGATGGGTTAGCCTGGTGATGGGTATTAAAGAGGGCACGTTCTGCCTGGAGCACTGGGTGTTATACGCAAACAATGAATCATGGAACACTACATCAAAAACTAATGATGTAATGTATGGTGATTAACATAATAAAATAAAATTTTTAAAAATTTGGTTTATATGTACACTGTTCTTATGCCTTCAGTTACTAAACTGTCTTATCATTACTATTACTATTAGTATTAGTATCTTTATATGAGAGGGAGCACACAGAATGATACCCTGGGAATAAGACAGACTTAATCTTTCTTACAATTTGGTAAAGAGGTATTTTCTCAGCAACATAAAAATGAAAATAATAATGTCAGCGTGCCATGACATGAAAATCTTTCAAGATGCCTCCTCGAAAACGGAATCAAAGATAGCTTTAAAATGAGGAAGCCCCACCTTGTGACATGTAAGAGACATAAGGACCAACACACTGTAGAGCACAGCACGGACGGCAGACAGACTGAAGAGGAAGCAGACCCTCAGATGTTCAACCTTCAGTTCACCACTTACATGCTAAGGATTTGTCTTAAAAGTAATGGCCTGGTGATGGGTATTAAAGAGGGCACGTACTGAATGGAGCACTGGCTGTTATACGCAAACAGTGAATCATGGAACACTACATCAAACACTAATGATGTAATGTATGGTGATTAACATACATAATAAAATTAAAAAAAAAAAGTAATGGCTGGCAGCCCATTTGCCTCAATTTCCACTAATGTACCTGAGGAGAGAGACACTTGAAAAACTACTGCAGTGAAGTTTTTTTAAAGATAATTTGGGCATACCATCTTCAGCTAGATCAAAGGATAAGTTTGACCAGTGGAATCAGTTGCTCCATAGATCAAAATGAGAGCTGAAGCAAGAGAGGATGATGAGGAAAATAAACAGTAGATTTAATATAAATTTAACTGAAGTCCAAAATGATAATGCAATATTCTGAAAAGCAGGTTTTAAAAGGGATTATAAACAGCAAGTTACAAGACTGTGCCAACAGTATCCTAAACTAAAAAGTATAGCTTTTCTACAGTGAATAGGAATTTTGGTACGAAGCACATTTGAAAAATGTAATTGGGAACTGTGTCATAATGTGAGCCTCCAGGTGGAACTCTTCTTTTTAGTTTGATTTTATAGATGAGAAAGAATGATTTTAAAAGTTTAATATTAAGAGTAACCTGTCAAATTGACGACAGCAACATCTTTCCCTTATATGTCTCCTGAGGTAAGGGAAACAACAGCAAAAATAAATCATTGGGACTACATCAAAATAAAAAGTACAGCAAAGGAAACAACCAACACAACTAAATGACAACCTACTGAATGGGAGAAGATCCTGCAAATGATATATCTGTAAAGGGTTAGTATCCAAAATATACAAAGAACTTATACAACTCAACACCAAAAACCACCCCCCCAAATAATCCAATTAAAAAACGGGCAGAAGACATGAATAGACATTTCTCCAAAGAAGACATACAGATGGCCAACAGACACCTGGAAAGATATTCAACATCACTCATCAGGGAAATGCAAATCAAAACCACAAATGTCAGAATGGCTGAAATCAAAAACACAAGAAACAAGTGTTGGCAAGGATGTGGAGAAAAAGGAACCCTTGCGCACTGTTGGTGGGAATGCAAACTGGTGCAGCCACTGTGGAAGAAAGTATGGAGGTTCTGTAAAAAAATTAAAAAATAGACTACCCTATGATCCTATAATCACTCTGCTGGGTAGTTACTTAAAGAATACAAAGACTGTAATTTGAAGAAATATATGCACCCCTATATTTATTGCAGCATTATTTACAATAATTAGCCAAACTAGACAGCAGCCCAAGTGTCCATCAATAGATGAATAGATAAAGATGACGTGGTACACACAGAGAATGAAATATTATTCAGTCATAAAAAAGAATGAAATTTTGCTACTTGCAGCAACATGGATGGATCTAGAGAGTATAATACTAAGTGAAAGAAGCCAGTTAAAGAAAGACAAATACCACATGATTTTACTCATATGTGGAATTTAGAAAGAAAACAAACAAACAAAGGAAAAAAGACAAACCAAGAAACAAACTCTTAACTATGGAGAACAAACTGAGGGGAGGTGGGGGGGGATGGGTGGAATAGGTGAAGGGGATTAAGAGTACACTTATTGTGATGAGCACTGAGTCATGTATAGAACTGTTGAATCACTATATTGTACACCTGAAATTAATATAATACTGTATGTTAACTAAACTGGAATTAAAATTTTTAAACATGTAAAAAAGTTTATGATTTATTTGTTACCACTACTTATGTTTCATTTATTTTTTTAAGGAAAATATGTTTTATAATTGTTCCTAAGGCTTGGTCCCTGCATAGTAACTGTAGATGCTCAAAAATCAATCCACAAATGATATTCTGACCCCAATATTTCCAACCGTGTGATTGATTAAAATGTTTAATATTTATGTTTTGGATATTTTATGTTTAAATAGTCACTAGTGATTCTTAGGTTCCTTAAATAGTTTACTAGTCTGTTCCATTTCTATGTTGGCCTCTTCAATTTAATTTCATTGGTATAATTTTCTCAATTCAATGTATGAGCCTATAAGTTACAACTAAAACACTGAATTTTAAACTGTGGTGCATTTTCTGTATAACTGGCCAACTAAATTGGAAACATAAATTAAAGTAGAATTTAATTAGCAAACTAAATTTTCCAATAACATATTTAAAGTTCAAAGAAAGTTAATACCATTCACTCACCACCTACCTATGTGACTCTGGCAAATTACCTGACCTTTCTGAGCTTCAGTGTCCTTCTCTATAAAATGGGGATAAATGTACTTTGCAGTGAATTGTTTTAAAAATTAGTGCAGCATATGTAAGGTCACTAGTATAGTATCTGGTACATAAGTGCCTCTCTAGAGATTATGCTGGGTTTTGTTATTAATGATGATATTAATAATGATGGTGATGTGTGCTGTCTTCCATAGAATTATATTCTTAAACAATTTTTTTAGGTAAGTCTATTCTTCAAGTGTTGACTTTCTATGCTGGCCATGAAAGTTTTGGATCCTGACACTGTCCCAACATCACTATAATTACCTAAAGTATATGTCACATTGGGGTCTTTCCTGATTTTTTATCTTTGCCTGTTTTAAAGTCATAGGGATAGAAGGCACAACATAGGGAACATAGTCAATGGTATTGTAATAGCATTATATGGTGACAGATGGTAGTCACACTTGTGGTGAGCAGAGCATGGCATATAGACTCATTGTTGAATCACTATACTGTACACCTGAAACTAATGTAACATTGTGTCCCAACTGTACTTCAATTAAAAAAATAAGTAAATTAAGTAAATTAAAAATAAACAATTAAAAAATAATAAGTAAATAAATAGGTACAGCCAATGGAAAACAGTACGGAGGTTCCTCAAAAAATTAAGAATAGAACTACCATACGATACAGCAGGAAAAAAAAAAAGGAAAAGAAGCTAAAGGCTGCTGTGTTTCCATGTCTTGCTTGATTTTTATTATTCCCTGTATAATTGCTGTTTCTATCCACATTGTATTCTTAAGGAAATATTTCTCATATACATTTGAAATATTAAATATCTAAGAATTTGATATTAAAATAATATTAACCCAGGATTTTTTGATTTATAAATAATACTAAAATATAATTTTATCTAACTGACAAGAGTTAAGGTAATTCTGGGGCGCCTGGGGTGGCTCAGTTGGTTAAGTGTCTGCCTTCGGCTCAGGTCATGATCCTGGGGGTCTCCCAGAGGGGAGCCTGCTTCTCCCTCTCCCTCTGCCTGCGCTCTGCCTGCCTGTGCTCTCTCTCTGTCTCTCTGTCAAGTAAATAAATAAAATCTTAAAAAAAAAAAAGAGTTAAGATAATTCTACTATAAGAATAAAATTATGATCAAACCATTGTCCTTAGAGATTTATGTTAAAAGCATTTAAAGGCTAGAGATCACCAAAAGTGTTGTCACCTAGTTAGTGGAAAAGACCACTTAATAAAAGTAGTGTATTTGGTTAACTTAAATCAAAAAGATTGATTTTCATTTAACATCTGTCCACTACTGATAACTCAAGTTGGAAAATCAATTTCAGAGTGACCCAATGGGAGAAGGGTTCCACGTAGTTATATATATTTAATGACAGAAACACATTAGTACTTCACTGCTTATAATAGCATTAAATAAAAAAAAATTGTGTTTAAATTACTTTGCAGTTGTGACACAAGGCAGCAAATTGCAACATATCAAAATGACAAAATCCAATATCACACATTAATATCTTCTCTTTTTCTGAAAGAAGAAATGCAGTAAGAAATAGACTAGTCTTAAAAAGACAGAAAATTGGCAGAAAATTTAAATATACTGCTCTCTTAAATCTGTATTCTTTCTACTTTCTTCCATATGCAGTTATTTTTAATTTATTTAAAGCATAATAGCAGCAAATGGATCTAGAATCATAGTACTGTTACCGTTTTTCAAACATGTTTCAGAATACTGTGAGGAATATATGCAATTTTTTAACTTTTAAAGTAACTTGTAAAATGTTTATATGTATTATTATTTTTATTTTAATTCCAGTGAAGTTAACATACAGTGTTATATTAGTTTCAAGTTGTTTATATATATATTACTAAAATTATTGATGGGCTTACAAAGTGTCTAATTACTAAAAAAGTACAAATTAGTTTAAACAGGTTTGTAAACAACAGACCAAACTTTCTACTTACATAAATTCTTTCAGTCATCAGAGTTTATTAAAGCCTCCTATCTGAGAGGCAATGCATAATGTCCTGGGGATAGCCCTGTGAACATTACAGGAAAAGTCCTGCCTTCACATAGTTGGCTTGGTTGAAATTAGAAAAAAAAGACAAGATTGCTAGAATTCAAAGGTATCTTTGTGATCATTTATTTCTCTATATACACATGAGAAAACTGAGGACCAGAAAGAAGAGGCAATTTGTGCTGGGTTTCAAGCTAATCAATGACAGTATAGAGATCCAATTTTTTGGACTCCCAGTGTAGTGATTTTACCAATATGTCACCAAAGGCTTTAGGACTTCTGTAATCCTGCTTTCTTGTCATAACTTACTTCCCTAATTTCCAGGTTCTTGCCCCAACCTAGCTAGGACTCTGCTATTCCTGGAATACACAGATATTCCAGACCTCTTGTGCCTTTGAACATGCTCTTCCTTCTGGAGCACAGAACTGAACTGGAGGGGAAGGGGATGAATTACACAACTTCTAAGGTCCTTTGTGATGCAAAAGATCCTTATTAACTTTCTATGAAATCTATTGCCAATTCTAAATAGTATCTTTTATTTATAGACGCAGCTTATTAACCTTCTATGCAATTCATTGTCACTTCTAAATGTTATCTTCTATTTAGATGCATGCAAAATTAAATGTACATTACATATAGAAAGAGACTAATGTGCATGCATTCTGTATATAGTCCAAAACAATTTATTGATACAAACATTGATACAAAATTAATAATTTCTGTATCAAAAGAATCAGATTCAAAACTGAAATTTTAAAAGTACTTTCCTACCTGTATAATTGTCTTAATTCAGTCAGTTATTCTCTGAAAAGGGAGAAAAATAAAGTGTTGCGCTAAAAATGACAGCATGGCAAAATGGGAGTGCTCACTGAGCCAGAAATCAGAAAACTTGGGTTTGAATCTAAGTTCTATTACTTTCCAGCAGCATAACCTTGGGAAATTCACTAAATATCTCTGTGTCTCATATTCTTCATCTGTACTATGGGACTAACTCTCAGCACTACAAAGAACTGGATATACATAACAGAACATGCCTAAGACACAGTAAGTAGCCAATGACCGTTAGCTGAATTTGAGTTCTAAATCTTTCCTATGAAATATTTCTTCTTTCCCGAAGTTAGGAGTGCCCTCAACAAGTACAAGGCACTGCTACCCCCATTAGACGCATAGACACCCCCCCACATACACATATACACATGAACACACACATGCGTTCACATACACTGGTATCGCTAGCCTGAGCTTCAGTTATCTATCATATATCCCTAAGAAGCAAGGAAGAAGACCCCTGAAAAATCAAGAAAAATATCTGAAGCCATGAATCTCTTTTTTTGTAGCTAATAAACCTAAGTTGATATCCACCCTCTAGCAAAAAAGAAAAAAAAAAAAAAAGGATTCCCATTGGAAAAAGTGTTACCTTATCCAAAAAACCACTTGACCTCTTGACAATCCACCACACTTGCTACATCAAAATTTTTATACGATTCTTTTTTTTTAAAGATTTTATTTATTTATTTGAGAGAGAGAGAGAGAGCATGAGAGGGGGGAGGGTCAGAGGGAGAAGCAGACGCCCTGCTGAGCAGGGAGCCCGATGTGGGACTCGATCCCGGGACTCCAGGATCATGACCTGAGCCGAAGGCAGTCGCTTAACCAACTGAGCCACCCAGGCGCCCCTATACGATTCTCTTTTGTGACTCATAATGAAAAGACGATATACAAACACAGAAACATTGATAATGGGGCTAAGTTATACAGGAAAACACAAATTATCTCCACTCCTGTCACAAATTTCCTTGAGAACCTTTCAAGAGCTTAATTCTAATTTTCTTTGATCGTGTTGCTGTCCAGCTCCAATCCTTTAGTGGCTGTCCACTAACTATAAATTAAGATCTAAACTCTTGACATATACAGATTTTTGCTTGTCTCTCCAATAATTAGTTACTATGTACAAAAATAAATAGGTGAATAGATAAATACTATTTCACTTTCATGTGTTTTCCTATTTACATTTAAAGCTAATATAAAAAGAAGAAAACATTGTTGCAAAGAATAAACATATATGTCTCAAAGCCATATCTGTGATTTCAAATTTGTAAACAATAATGTTTAAGCCACTAACTCTAACTTGCTACTGAAAGCTAGTTCACAGTCGTCAGAGGTCAGATATACGTGTAAAAACTAAATTAATTTACTGCGTTGTATATTTTCTTTTTTTTTTTTTTAAAGATTTTATTTATTTATTTGAGAGGGAGAATGAGAGAGAGAGAGCTGAGAGGGGGGAGGGTCAGAGGGAGAAGCAGACTCCCTGCCGAGCAGGGAGCCTGATGCGGGACTCGATCCCGGGACTCCAGGATCATGACCTGAGCCGAAGGCAGTCGCTTAACCAACTGAGCCACCCAGGCGCCCTACTGCGTTGTATATTTTCATTGCACACCTTTTTGTTTTGTATTTTGCATGGAGAACATGAGATTTAATCCTAAAACCATATTCTTAAATTTTGAGCCTTCTGTGCTTTTAAATATTTCTTCTGGAAGAACTGCAAGCCATTTTTCTATAGCCAAAATACTCATAATTAATATAGTTTCCTGTGATTTTACATTGAAAAGTATCACAGAATAACAACATAGATTTAATAGTGAAGGGAGATTAACCTGACAAACATGAATGGAACAGCTAGAGGGGGAGGAAAAAAAGAGATTTTAAGATGTCTTAGTCATTTGAAGGGTCAGTTTCATTCCAAATGATTAATGCCTCACTATAGTGGAGTACGCAACCTTACAAAGATATAATTTGCAGCTTATTATTTAAATAAATGCTTGAATCTCCTATTGCCTGCGTGTGTTTCACAGGAATAATCTTTCTTCCCCGTTTTTCATTTTTTTCCTCTTTCTTCCCTTCTTTTCTTCTTTCTGCTCCTGATCCTCCCTCCTCTTTTAGCCCATAATCTGACATTTCCTCTTCAGTGAAGTATTTTGTATGCCAGTAACCATGAAAGTAATATTATTCAGATTTACTGCTGATGCTATACCTAGGGATTTTATTTGGATTTATTGTTACTTATCTGTAATTCCTAACTGCCCTACAGTAACTGTCAAAAGGTGAAGGCCTGAATATTAACCCAGGGAAATGTTTGAAAGATGTAAATGAAAATATTTATGTAAGTCTCTCTCTCTCCCTCTCTGGGTTTCTCTCTCTCTCTCTCTCTCTCACACACACACACACACACACACCCTTCCCTCCCTCCTAAACCTCTTATCTCATAAAAGAGCATCTGATGCCAAAGCATGAACAGTGCATTAAGGGCTTAATTTCAGTATTAATAACTCAGATTTAAAACTCTTGACAATTAATTAAGATTAATGACAGAAGTCATCCCCTTTTCCTCGATGTAACAGTTCCTCCTATCTCTTCAATTTCTCATTCCTGGGACTATTCCATGCTCATTTCAGGCTGTGAAAACCCAAGGTCCTAAAACTTTGTTCCTGTTATCTGTTGCCTTTTGTATCTGAGATTAACGAAGTAGACATTAGCAAATTTACAACCAACAGCTCAGACAGCTGCCCTACTTTAAGCAGTTAATGGAAAAGGAACTAATCTAGTTAAGAGCATAGGACTAGTTCATAAATCTGGATTCAGAGGACAGATAGAGCCGTCACACCTCTTCTGGAGAGTATGAATTGAATTCAATCATCAGCCCTCTCCTCTCTGCAGAAAAGAGCCAGCATTTCTATAAACTGGACCAACAAGGCACTCAGAGCTAGCAGAAGCCATATACAGCCCTGCACGGAGATGATTATGGAAGAGACTGACATTAATGTATGATTTCACTGGGACAAATACAGATCTCACAAGAACTCCAATCACTGAAAACTCTTCTTGGGTCAAATATGAAGCAGACTAAATCTGATTTAGACAAAAAGATGAGAGGGCGCCTGGGTGGCTCAGTCGTTAAGCGTCTGCCTTTGGCTCAGGTCATGATCCCAGGGTCCTGGGATTGAGTCCCACATCGGGCTCCCTGCTCGGCAGGAAGCCTGCTTCTCGCTCTCCCACTCCCCCTGCTTGTGTTCCTGCTCTCACTCTCTCTCTCTCTGTCAAATAAATAAATAAAATCTTTAAAAAAAAAAAAGAAAAAGAAAAAAAGATGAGAACAATGCAACTGAAAACAATAAAATAATAAACGTATCTTGATAAGGAGAATTAATAAAAATGATAAGCCTTTATCTGTTCAAAATTCCACGTAAAAGAAAATGGTGTCATACTTTTATAACTCAGAAAATGTTTAATAGATTTAATTATAAATTAAGTTAATTATCATTCAAAATGATAAATCTCAGCTCCATGTAAATAACATTTTTATGTATCAGCATCCTCAGCCATATCTTTATAAGAAATAATTCATATTTATCAAATTTCAGAACTGCTCTGATGTCTTGATTTTCTTAGTAGCTTAGTCTCAGGGAAAGAATCATGAACCTAAAATCATAAGTCATGATAACAAAAACTTTTAAAGTGTACAAAGTCAAAGTGATGCATCTCTTAAGAATCACTAGTCTAATGCATATATTCCTCAATAGCTTATTTTTTGCATCATAGTGAAATATTATGATTTGTTGGCATAAGATTTCATACACAGAATTAGAAAGCTAAAGTCTCGACCCTACTCATTGAGTTGTGGGAACCATGAAGTCAGCTGGGCATCAACTTAGATACATCAGGTGAAGAGCAGAGAGAATAAGAGACAGAAAAGCTATATAGTAACTACAGTTTGAAAGCCATACATAGAGATCTGGTGACAACAGGACATCTAAGAAGGTTCTCAGAGATATGCAAATAGAATTTAGGAGAGATGAGGGAATTGTCTAAAAATGCAGTTAATGATGATAGCAAAGCAGTGCGAGTCCATGTGCTCTCTAGAGAAGAGTGAGTTGTGAGAATAACAGGAGACCAACCGTTAAACCTTAGGAATCAGCCAAAGTTAGGGGAAGAGAGAGAAATGAATGATGTAGAGAAAGAAATCAGAGAGTAAACACTCTTAACTCTAGATAGAGCTTTTATCTGCACACTAGATATGTAAATGTACTATTTGAATTCTTTATTGAAATACGTTTTACAGATTTACTTTGTTAGGCAAGTAAGATATGATTTGATATGATATATGATATGATATGATAACAGTGTGGATAATTGCATAACCATATAATCCTTTGTGTGTATAGCCCATTCTCATTAGGATAGATCTTAATGCTATTTGAATAAAATTTACTGAATTCATAATAAACTCTTTGTTAAGATACCATTAGTGTCAGGAAATGGCTCTAATAGAAGAATTTACTGTAAGCAGGAAACAGTGCTTGGTTTAAGAAAAAAATGGTTCGAAATCTCTAATTTTGATCCAAAACAAAAAATGTGCTTAGTAGTGGAGAAGATTCTAAAATATAGTTATAATACAAATTATTTTCAGTATACTAACCTGCTTGCTAAGAAACATTATAGGAATCTAAAGTTTAAGAAATCAGATACATCTTTTTTTCCGCATTTTTTAAGTGAAAAGAGCTCTCTAAGGAGAGAGATATGAGGTATATCAGAGAGTAAAATGGTTTTGAAATGGGAACAAGTTTGTAAAAACTATCCCAACTTCATTAATTTTAAAGAAAGAAAAAAGAAAAAAACCCAAGAAATTCCTCATAACCCTTTGAAATAAGAGCTAATTTTTAATCTAGTCATATAATGATAAACAAGTGAATGTCTACTGGTATTCTCAAACACAATTTCTCGCAAAGTTTGAATAGTAAATCATTTTTATTCTATACCTCAAAGTTATATCAGTTTCAAATTCCTCAAGTGTTAGAGGTTGCAATTTGATTCAGTGCAGAATTAATGGAAAATATAAAGATTATGTGAAGCAATTTTAAAAAGGTCTTAGAGATTAAAAGTGTGTATTACAAAAATCCTAGTATTTTATTTTACTTAGAAATAAAAATGAAAGATATTTAGCAAAAAAAAAAACCATTTATTTCTCCTTAAAGTATATATTTATATAATGTGTTAATATAAATTCATTTTGAAGAATAAGGGAACAATAAAATCTTCCTACTCAAGCCAGTTTCCTTAACTGAGTTATGAAGCTTTCCTTAAACTAAACTTATAAATGGGGGTCTGGTAGACATGAAGGCACCATCGTAATGTACTTTGTTAAAATAATAAACTGTCTACAAAATTTAATGCATTTTTCCCCCTTCGACTGGGTCCTTTGAGCTCTAAATTGAAAACTGATTATAATTTTGTAAATTATTAGAAATTATAAAGTGATTTACTTAAATATATTTAATTCTCTGTAAAAAAGCTATACATAAGGTACTTAAAATGGATTAAAAAAAAGTCAAAAATTATATCTGTGCTGACATTTCTACTCCCAGTTAGATGATTTAATTGATGTCCTCAAGATGTTCTACAGCAATGTTGTATATTAAGGCTAAGAAAGTAATGTAGTTAGCCCTGAACAACCAGTAATAAGTCATGATATTTTTTGAAGTATTATTTTAGTGTAGCTAAACAGTAGTAGTAAAGCTCACTGATGATGAAAAAAAAAGTTTATTTCTAAAATCAGCACATTAATTTGTGAAGACAGTATTTACACTAATATAAAAATTTTTGTCTCTTGACTGTCAAAAGCTGTTGATCAATTTTAACCAAGAAATCTAACGAAGAAAATCTAAACTATTTATAAGTTAATACATAAAATATGTATGAGACCACTAAATGCAAATTCTGCCTGGCTTGGGGGGTTAAGAAGCCATTTAAGTATCCAGATTCTACTTATACTACTTAGGTAATTTAAATTATTACATTTCACATATTCTATATTTCACTTTAGGGAACCAAACTGAGCCAACACTTTCGCCATCCATAATTAACCTAAGAAATAGTATGAAAAGAAGTACTCTATTTCACGAAATTATTATTTCCCACTGAAACAGGCATTAGTTGATAACATACACACTGAGAAAATGTTCTACAGGTATATACACAGATATATTTATAGTAAACATACACATATACATATATACACATACTCAGTGGGATTGTAGTAATAATGGCATGTTCATGTGTTATTCTAGTAAAAATTTATCTTTCAAATTTATATAAACCAAAGCTATTACTTCTACTAATTTAAACAGGATATTTCAGGTATTTTAAGGATGCCCCAAAATAGAAAGACAAGAGATAATCAGAATGAAAGATTACTAGTGATAACACAAAGGGTAGAAAAATCTGATGGTAGTTTTCCCAGTCAGGTCAATCATAATTAGTTCCAACGATCATATAAAATTTCAGACCTTACAAAAATAAAAGGTAAGCGATCGCTTGAGTTTTAAAAAAATCTTGACATTTTTCTCTATTCTTTCAATTAAGAATTCAAAAAAGGAAAAGGTCTGAAAGTACCAGGAGCATTTTGTGTACACAAGGCCTCAATGACTCAGGCTAAATTAAAGGGTTTCCTTACAGCTCCTAAAAAATCCATTGCCAAGTCCAGCTGTAGGACACAAAATATTAAGAAGGAAACTAAAAACTAAGTGTAAAAATGCAGCCATTAGCAGCATAATTCCAAGCACTGAAAACAAGTATCAAATCATTCGAGTGAAGGTTTTAATCTGTTCAGAAACGCCACAAGCGGTTTACATTCTGCAAATGTGGTGGGGAACTTAAAGGCAGGGTGGCACTCGATCTCTGCTACCAAAATGCAATTCAGTCTGAAGATGAAGTGGTTTAATAGCACCAAGTACTGGGTGATTTGTAAGCACGCTGGACCTCACAGTGATCCTGGGGAGGGTTAGGGTCATCGAAGAAGCTGCCTGGGAAGACAGGGAGGTCAGTGTGTTTTGAACATGAGAATTCAGCTGCAGGACAGGCAGGGAAGTGAGCATAAGCTAGAACTACAGACATAAACAAGAGGTCGCAGCCTTAATCATTTGCCATTGAGGTCATCAGGTTTCTCTGGAGTCTTTTAAATAAACCTGTGCTATCTATGTTCTCAGATTTTTTTTTTTCCTGTAGATTTTTTAAAAATCAGAGGACGGACATTAGGTTCTGTCAAAATGGACTTCCCCTTTTTTAAAGCAGCTACCATCAATCATTTTAAAACCTGAAAATTATATCTGCACAATTAATAAAAGTCCTCTCAACATAATAAATTTAGCTTAATTGGAAACTCACTATGCACTTCTGTCGCTTATTTCACCGCTGACTGATGAAAACTTGGCCACACTCTAGCATCTGTCCCCAGGCCGCTGTTCCCTGGCTACTCCCACTCCAAAGGATACCTTTGAGTTAGCACCTTTCCTTCACCTCCCAGTAACCTTGCAAGTGTTCCCTCGGGGGAGGGAGCCTAAATTTTAATAATAATAACAGTTTATATTACCACAGACTATTATATTACCATACCCTGGAGCTTTATTTGTCACACTAATATTTAAACCAATTCTCATTATGTCATATGAGTGTGTGCCCAATCATGAGCTTTTGCAATATTCCCACTGAAAAGTATACACATTCTGGAATTTCTTTCCAGCTGAATCTAGGTGACAGAGTGGGAAGACGCCTCAAAAAGAAAAAATGCTTCCCTGAACATGCAATTCTGATTTTCGACTTAAAATTTCATGTTTAATATCCAACTCTAGGCATACTGCCTTTATAAATAGAAAATTAAAGCTAATGGAATTTTCTCAGTTTCGTTTTACTAAAAATTTACATCCATCTGGAAAATAATTTCCTTTCATCTCCATGAAGTAAGTAGCCCCATGATACAAGTTTCCAAACAAACAGTGGATGCGCTTCACGGGTGTCACCATTACTAGGATTCCTCTCTTGCAGGGTATAAATTTACGTGGGTTTACTGGTGAATGAGGGATTGCGGCCTGAAGGTTAACATAACCTCGATCACACAGCCAAGAAGCTCCTCGGAGATTTAATTGGTTCGTGGAACGACTCCAAACTAGTGTTGCGCTTTCTTCTTTCTTTGCCTTTTCTGCTTCTCCAACTCTCACTTTTCAAATAAAAAAGGAGCACGCATGGTAATGCATGATTTATAAATTACCTTGTTATTGCAAAAACAAAACACTGCTTTGAAAACCAAACAAACTCCTGCTGCGGACTCCAGCATGTTTGATGGAGGCCCTTCAAAAGCGTCCATGGCTTAATGGAGGTTGTTTACGTGGAGACTTCAATCTGTACCTGCTGTCCCCCGTCACTCCCTGGAAACTTGGCGGCAGATGTGGCAGCGTTAAGTTGTCTCTGAAGTGGCTTTCTGTCCTAGTCTCCCCACCTCCACGGAGTCAGACTGCATTAGATCTCTTTATTTGTGCCTAAGGCAAGTTTGGGAGCGCAGCTGTGTCCACTCGCACCCCTACCTTTGGTGTTTCAGGCCTCCAGGCAGCGAGTGGGAGACCAAACTGGTTCTGCCGCTCTCAACTACCTCCGCTGACAATCCGGCCGCTCGCGGCGGGCCGGGGAGGCGGCTGCCGCTGCTGCGAACAGATGTCGGCGACAACCTGCTGGCTTACACCTGGACGCGCGGCCCTCACCTCGCGCGCCGCGCGCTGAAACATTCATGACTCGGAGGACTTGCAGCCACAATCAAAGCCTGGGCCGGGTCTGTGCGCAGCGCGCGGACCGCGCCCCCTCCACAGGAGCTGGCGGCGCGCACGGGGGAGCGGGGCCGGGACCGAGCCGGGGATTTCTCGCGCCGCTTTGATACTCTGTGCCTGAACTTCAATTACCCGATCAAGGACTTCGATTGAGCGGTGAATTATTCTGCAAATGAGCCCGGTGCGGCCTCTGAGCCATAAAAGGAGAGCATTTGGCTTGAAATTCAGCGTGACGGGACTTGCAGAGGAAATGTGCTTGACTCCCGGTTTAGTTCTGTGTCCGCTGATTTGTTTATTAAACTAAACCCTCAAGAGGCAGAATCTGCAGTGAACAGTTTATAAGTAAATGGCAAGATTATTTTCCTAGGTAGAAAACATGCTGTTGACTAGGCGCTGGTTCTGTTATTTTGGAACCATCAGCCACAACCTGAAAACAATTGTTTTATTGTCTCTCAAGCAGCACCAAGTTTGTTTTGCCTTGTTTTTTTAAGAAAGAGAATGGCTATTACTCCTTTAAGATCCACAAAGGACAAAACATCCTTGCAACATTCAGTTGTCCGAAAAATGTACAGAATGGTAACTCTGCTAACATATTGGAATGTTTTTTGCTGTGTAATTCTATAATCTCTGAAAAAATACAGGTTATAGTTATGTATGTATGTGGGATGTTAAGTTTATATTGGAATTAATTATATCAAATAAAGAATACCTGGTTGATGCTGTGAAGTCGACAGAAACGCAGATATTCTTAATAATCTTTGCGAAACATGGAAAATGGGAGATGGGGAATAAAAAGAAGGGAAGGCAAAGAGTTCCCAAACTGTCTAAAGGACAAAGGTTATATGCTGATAACTACAATAGACTTGACATCAATCCCCAGTCTAAAAAATAATAAATATTATAAAGTTTCACTAGCAAGAAACAGAAACAAAAGGGCAAATCATGCCAAGCTTACCTAATTTCCATGATTAAATAATTCTGCATCATTGGTTTGGTTAGATGAGGAAATATACTATGCATTATACCATAAATTCAGCAAATAATTTAACAAAATTCATTAAATATCCTTTTGAATACGATAGTAAATTGAGGGGTGCCTGGGTGGCTCAGTCGGTTAAGCATCCAACTCTTGATTTCAGCTCAGGTCATGATCTCAGGGCTGTGAGATTAAACCTACTCTCTGGGCTCTGTGCTGGGCATGGACCCTGCTTAAGATCCTCTCCCTCTCCATATGCCCCTCCCCCACCAAAAAAAATCATTAAAAAAAAAAGATGGCAAACTAAGATTGTACTATTGGGTGGGTTCCTAGCTTTACCATACTAATGTCAATTAACTGGATTATCAGCCTGTGGGGAAAACTTTCATGGAGTGCCACATTGAGGCTTTAACAGTGGTTTGAAATAAGTAACAAAAACTTGTAGGTGACAAAATGCTGGAAGCAGTAAAGCTATACAAGAAAAAAGCATTATGAAAAAAAGACGAAGTCATACTGTGTCAGATACACATACAATCATAATATATATTTGATGGAGCATACATAGGTTTATGGTGGAAAAACTGGAGACTTAATCACACGCAGTAAAGATCTACTATCTTTTATGTACACCTTTGAAATAAAAAATCTTTGAAAACCCTTAAGTTTTCTGCTGAGTTTGTCACCAAAATTTATTTGGAAGCAAACCCTGACTTGAACTTGAGACTATTAATAGTCTATGTCTACTTGCAGTTACTAATATTTCTGTAGCAAAATGTCTAAATAATGTAATCAGAAGGTGCTGCATTACATAAATATATGAAGTATGGACTGTATCAGATTCCTAAAATGTGAAAAATTCTGAATTTTGAAACAATTTGAACTTAAGAGTTAGAATAAAAGTCTTTGGGGCTATAATAGACAAAAGAATGGCCAAATTACCAGAACAAAAGAAATCATGGTCAAAATAATGAAAAGATTACTCTTAAACCATGGAAAAACAAATAATGATTTAACCTGCTAGGACATGTACAGTATTCTAACACTAATTTTTTTCTTTTTCTTGTTCTTTTTTTAAGTAGGCTTTAGCATGGAGGCCAACACAGGGCTTGAAACTCATGACCCTGAGATCAAGACCTGAGACCAAGAGCCTGAGGCTTAATGGACTGACCCATCCAGGCACCCTTCTAGCACTATAATTTTTAAAAAATATTAAATTTATTTAGTATCTAACGAAGTGCTTGGTACATGTAGGCACTAGATAAATATTTGTTGAATGAATGAATGAGTGTAATTTATCATTTAAAAAACCAAATATATCAATTTATCCAATCTTAAAGATTTCTTCTTTTCTATTACCAACCTATCATTCTGGTTTCAATCCCAACCCCTAGATTATCTAGCAATCCACAAATCATTGTATTCTTGGCTGCCTCAGAGACTTTGCTCTTGATGCTTCATCCATGGAAAAGTTCAGTCCACCTAACTCCACCTGTTGAAATTCTACTCATATTTAAAGATAGAAGGCCTATATTTTTGAAGAAGCATTTCCAAGTTCCTCCAGAGAGAGTTAACCTCTCGTCTTCTGTGCACTCAAGAGTACTCGATGCCTACTTATATTATGGCTCAGATCACCTTCTGGAATAAATATTACTTTCCTGTATGTCTTGTTTCCCAGGCAAGTTTTAGGTTTCTTAAGGGCAAAGACTACAGTTTGCACTTACCCTTCAGTATTACCTGATGTCATTACTTGTGCACATTTATAATCCAAAAATTACTGAATTAAATCAGAATTAGTAGGAATGATGAAAGACAAAACTAAATTTTAAATGAGAGTTAAAAGAATATATACTGTATTGGCAAGAGTGCTAGAACCACTGTCTGCCTTTGCCAGCTAATACATCTTTAGTGCTGGCACAAAACTCAACATTTTTTTTTTAAAGATTTTATTTATTTATTTGAGAGAGAGAGAATGAGAGAGAGAGTACATGAGAGGGCGGAGGGTCAGAGGGAGAAGCAGACTCCCCGCCGAGCAGGGAGCCCGATGCAGGACTCGATCCAGGGACTCCAGGATCATGACCTGAGCCGAAGGCAGTTGCTTAACCAACTGAGCCACCCAGGCGCCCAAAACTCAACATTGTTAAAGGTGAAAATTATTGAACAAATGAACTAATGTTGAATCTGGGGGAGAGAAAACGAAGATGATGCACAAAAACAATTTTAAAACACATAAAATGAAAGCCTAGCATATTAAAGAGTAAGGAGAGTTGCTATATGTTGGTCCAGAAGCAGAACTTCAGATCATGAATTTAAACAGAGGCACAAATTTCAATAAACATAAGAACTTACTATTAACCAGAGTGGTCTGGTAATGAAAGAGGCTCCTTCATACACCATCTGGTTATCTCTACCTATCGTCCAAGCAAAAGATAAATGATCTGTTGGGAGAATTCTCAAACTGGATTTCCTAAATGGCTGAACTCAGATGTTTTGAAAATGACCCTCATTTCAGAGAAGTAAAAATTTAAAGATTTAGATGTTTTTGTTTTATATATATGAATATATAACACTGAACATAACTTAGTTTGGCACTGTAAAATACTCATTTCATTGATCATTTCATCCTGAAAAAAATAGCCTATTAAACCTGAATGAACCTAAAGTCCTCTGAAGTTGAAGTGAATAAAGTTGACTCACTTCAGATTTGGTGATCAGGATGATGATTATGTTGACACACAATGAAATGATACTGTTATTATTACTAACAGTGTTGTGTCTGAACCAAACCTGTCCATTGTTACAAATGGAAATGTTTTCAACAATTTTTCTTACATTGATACTATAGAAAACAGTGCTAACATATTAAAGAAATCATTAACACCGGAGGAATTCTAGCCAAATTCCCATAAACAAAAGACATCAAATAGGCTTCCTCAGTAGGGAAAATGTATACATATATACGTGTGTGTGTGTGTATTTTTTTTTAATGAGCGTGTGTGTGTGTCTCACCATCGCAGATTTCTATAATGCATTATAGTCCCCCCTTATCCACAGGTGATACGTTCTGAGACCCCCAATGGATGCGTGAAACCACAGACAGTACCGAAACCTATATATACTGTGTTTTTCCCTATACATACATACCTATGATAAAGTTTACTTTATAAATTAAGTGCAGTGAGAGAGATTAGCAAAAATGCCTAAGAATAAAATAGAAAAATTACACTGATATACTGTAATAAAAGTTATATAAATGTGGTCTCTCTCTCAAAATACTATTGTTCTATACCTACCCTTCTTGTGATGATGTAAGATGATAAAATGTCTGTGTGATGAGAGGAAGTGAGATGAATGACGTAGGCATTGTGACGTAGCATTAGGCTACTACTGACCTTATGCACACGTGTCAGAGGAGGGTTATCTGCTTCTGGGCCACGGTTGACTATGGGTAACTGAAACTGTGGATAAGGGAGGACTACTGAAAGACACTTTGATATATTTAAGAAATTAGTTTGCATCAACTGTTGAAGGCACAGAAATATATATTTATACCTGAAGAAACGGAGGCTCTGCATGTTCCCTGGGCTTCACTGCCAGTAAATGGTAGAGAAAGACTCTAACTACTAATCCCCAGTCTGTCCTTCCCACTTGGCAAAACCTCAGAATGTGATGTCGTCCAAGTCAAAGGCTGAAGCAGTGAGTGTGCATATTAAAGTATGCGTGTGACAGACCATAATTTGTACGTATTCCTTGAGAAGGAGCTCGTGTTAAACCATGGCCTGAAGATGTTTTCTAACAACAGGGGATAATTTATGAAGCGCCCCATGTAATAGGATCTTGCGCAAGACAACAATTCCTTCCTTCCCCAAGTGTAGGGAGGGCTTTAAAAATTCTTGTCGATGACTATTTCACTACCTGCGTCATGCTGATCCAAGCCCTCAGCTCTGTGCCAGCACACCCCCCCCCACAAACCTCATCGCCTTCCTGAGGCCGCATCAAGGAAACACGGTCGTACTGCCGCCGCAACAGAGCCCAGAGCGCATCAAGACGACCCTAAAGGGAAACATGACTTGTAAATTCCTAGGCAACGTTTTCGACCTCTGTCCACTACATAAAGAGTTAAAACGGAGACGGTAAAGTCTGATTCCCTCCTATCATTTCTCTTCTTTTTTTTTTTTTTTTTAAAGGTTTTATTTATTTGACAGAGAGAAAGACAGCCAGAGAGGGAACACAAGCAGGGGGAGTGGGAGAGGGAGAAGCAGGCTTCCCGCTGAGCAGGGAGCCCGATGCGGGGCTCGATCCCAGGACCCCGGGACCATGACCTGAGCCGAAGGCAGACGCCTAACGACTGAGCCACCCAGGCGCCCCCCTCCTATCATTTCTTTCCTAAATTAAGCAAACAAATAAAGAACAAAAACGAAGGTTCTTGCCGCGGAGAAAGAGTTAGTTGCTAGGATGGCTAATGAATGAGTGCTGCTGGATGCACCGTGGTCCGCCTGCAGGCAGCTAAAGAAGTCATCGTTTCTCCAGTTACAGTTTCTCAGTTAAATCACAGAAAATTGAAACAATTACCTTAATTGGTGTGTACCACTTTGTCTGAGGAGACTGGTATGTGGGTTTGGGCCGAGGTGGTCTCGGCCTGACGGGTTCCTCAACTTCTTCAGGAATCTTCACCACAGCATTTTTGGCTTTCTCTAGCCTCGCACCTTCCTCAGTAGATCCCTTATCACCCCAACGAACCTTTAAGACAAAGGGAAAATACTTGTATCAGACATAGAGTGTTCTAGAAGAACAAGCTCTTATTCAGCAGATGGTCCTTTGGTTCGCCATCATGGAGTGAAGAGATGCATAGTATACTAATTCTAAATTCCTCCTCTTCTGAGATTTAATTAGGTATGTTCCCCTTCTAGCTAAATACATTCCCATACTGATGGCAGTGGGGCGGAATGGATGATGAGGGGGACGATTACTATGTGCCACCTGCATTTAATCCATACCAAAAAAATTCAATGAGATAGATACTGTAGATACCCTAGTTTTTTCCTTCCAGATGAGGAAACCGCGGCATGGAAAGGTTGAGTGATGTGTCCAAAGCCACACAGCTAGGAGGTGACAGGGCAGGGATTTGAACCTGAAATAAGTTAGTACGTTTCAAAGAGGCTTGAATTTTACAAATGTATTTTTACATGTATTTTACAAATGTATTTTATACAAAGGAGTAAATTGTTCCTTCCAAACTTTTCATCCAGTTTGCCTAAGTCAAAAAGTATGATTTAAACATTTAGCCTTTGGGAGTAAAATAAGTATATATGATTTTTCTTTACTTTTGTAAAACTCGACTTTGTAAAGTAGCTTTCAGTCTTTAGTTCTGATGCTCATCTGAGTATGGTTATTTGACATATCAATTTTTCATTGAGGAAGGCAAATCTGAAAAGGTTCTGCTGTGAGAAGAAAAATTCAGGGACACTGAAGAATTCCACAAATTTTAAGGTATTTCCTTCTCTGAAAACTCTGGACAGTGAAAAACTATAGAGTCAAGTTATCATTTTCTTTATTCTTCAGTGAACAGGAATTAAGAACTAAATCTGAGCTAAGCTTTATCTCCTTATGCGCATGGTATTGGAGGTGACCCCTGGACAAAGACTTTGTCCAGCCAGGAGCGTGGAGATGTCCTACAAAAGCCAAGGACGTTAACAAAGATGACAAAGATAAGGTAAGAGAAGCTCTGCAAAGAAATACGAAGGCCTGTCCAGGATACACTGACTCACCAGAATTAAATGATTTCCACAAAGGAAAAAAAAAATTAAATACTTTGTAAAAAGCATTTTAATGACCTGAGTTAGTGGGTAGGGATAGAGATGATTACTATTCACCGAAAGAACTACTCAAGGCTTTTTGATAAGGCTTACTTAGATGTTTTTACCTTTTTTACTACAATTTTAGAATAGGCTTTCAAACTCGAGTGGACCCTGTTGAGTCATTAAAATGTATCTGTATCTTTCAGTGTGATCAGTGGTACTAGAATGTTCTTTATGAGGTTGTTAAAATTGTTTTAAACACCATTAAACCTTTAGAGCTAGCTACTTGGCTTTCTTTCCAGAGAAATGACCTTCTCTTTCAAATCAGAGTGTCTTTATCTAGATAAACTAAAACTTATGGAATCTTTAGATATAGCTAAACTGAGTTAAAAAAACTAGCTAAAAAACTCTAAAACCAGGATATATATCCTGGCAGTTGTGACGTCTCAATTTTAAGGGAAAAAACAAAAAAAGATACACAGTTAACTAAACAAATAAATGTCATAACTCAGAAAAGTAATTCAGAATAAAAATGTAAGTAGATAAATGTTACATCTATTCAGAAATTACAGATTTAAGATATACAGCTCCCAGCCTAGCCTTCACAGTTGGCATCATAGAGGTAAGGGTAATCATATTCTTCCTCTAAGAATCACTGACACCATTCTCAGATAAAGAACACGAAGGTGGCTGACCTGGAGTTCTTTTCTTTCTTTCTTTCTTTTTTTTAAAGATTTTCATTTACTTATTTGAAAGAGAAAGAGAGCACAAGCAGAGGGAGGGCAGAGGGAGAAGCAGACTCCTCGCTGAGCAGTGAGCCTGACACAGGGCTCGATCCCAGGACTCTGAGATCATGACCTGAGCTCAAGTCAGATGCTTAACTAACAGAGCCACCCAGGCGCCCCTGACCTGGAGTTCTGACTCAGTGTATTTCTAGACTCACCTCTTAACGGCCTAGACTCTGAAATACAGTTGCTGAGGTCTAAAGGAAATTCATTAATTAAATCCTTAGTGTTAGTTCATGAAGTAGCTGGTCCATCATCCTTATCACCATCATCACAAACAACACAATAAATAATTCTCACTCAAAGTCTAAAATTAGGAAATATTTTATGGATTTTTCCTAAAACTCTCAAAAGCAATTATAGGCATACCTCAGAGATACTGCGGGTTTGGTTCCAGACCACGACAATAAAGCAAATAGCATAATAAATGAGGCAAATGAATGTTTTGGTTTCCCAATGCATATAAATGTTACTATACTGTACTCTATTAAGTGTGCAATAGCGTTAGGTCTAAAAAAACAATGTACATACCTTAATTAAAAAATACTTTACTGCTAAAAATTTCTAAGCATCATCTGAGCTTTTAGCAAGTGGTAATCACTGATCACAGACCATCATAACAAATACAACAATAGTGAAAAAGTTTGAAATATTGCAAGAATTACCAAGACGTGACACAAAGACACAAAGTGAGCAAATGCTGTTGGAAAAATGACGCTGATAGACTTGCTCAATGCAGAGTTGCCACAAACCTTCAGTTTGTGAAAAACACAGTATCGGTGAAGCGCAATAAAGCAGAGCACAATAAAACAAGGTATGCCTGTAAATATATATACATTTATATGTATACATTTTAATATTTTAGTTTAACCACATTGAGATAGTCAAAAAAGATTTAAAAAAAAAAACAAGAATAAATTGCTAAAGGGAGCTTTAGCAGAATTAATATACCTGGCATTTTACTATGGAGAAAAAAAAACAAGGGCAAGCTTGATAGCTAAATTCTTCCAACTCTACTTGGCTTTCATAATAAACAATAAAATTCCATAATTTCCAGAGTATATTTGGATGACTAGGAGGTTGTATCATAAAGGAGCAATTTCAGAATTGAGAAAGAAACAAAAAAACAGTTTCAAGCTGAATTGGCAGAAACACACATTTGAAGTCATTAGGTATTATGGATCAGTTGTGCTAACAGCTGTTATTAATATCAGCTCAGTTCCAGCTTTCTGCAAATTGCCATTACCATAGCATTTAAATACTTAATTTAAAGGAGGAGTAAGAAAAAAAATCTATGTAAAATCCCTACCCTGGCTTAAAATAATCTTAGTTACAAAAATTTCTTCTATAATTCAGATGTGCACATAATTTCTATAATTCTATTTATTTTTCCCAGGTAAAGGTATTTTTTAAGGGAAATACTTTCCAGGTTTAAATAGGCATGGTTTAAAAATAGATTGTTTTCTATTTTCCCTAAAGTTTATAAATAAGATCAGATTTGAGAGAGCTCATTGATGCTTAATTCTCGATTCAATTTTTATTGTGTATATTTAAGTACTGTTTCCCCTTTGTAATGTTCACATTTACTTACTCATTTTTTCTCATCCCCATTCCACCTCATTGATGGAATACCACATACAACATAGCTAAAATTGTCCAAAGCTAAAACGCACCCCTATTTATTAAAAGTGGATGAGTCCTTTCCATAAATTTTCTTAAACTGAAAAGGACTGGCAATGTAATTTCACATATTAAGAATTGTAACTCTTGAAACTTGAAATGTAAGTTACTCATGAATGTGCATGATCTATGGCTTTCTTGACCATAAACCAGTATTATTCCTTTTACCTCAGGACCACATCAGGGGTTCATGGGTATGGTTTTCTTTAGAAAGAGATCTCAGTCTTCGATACACTGGAATATTGGACTAACAGAAATCTGTCATAACTCCTAGTGTTTTCAGCAAAAACATTATTCATTTAAGGCTCACTTACTAGCATACCCTTATCTCACTGTCATGTGGTATTTTATACATGTAGATTTCAAAATTGAATTAAATTTATATTTTGTATATAAAGTAGTGTATGCTCATTGTCAAAGGAGTTAGGAAAAAATAGGAAAATACATAGCACAAATTGAAAATCACTCCCTCCAGAGAAAGCTACTAACATTTTGTAGTATAGCTTTTCAAACATTTCTTCCCCTTGCATACAGTTTTTACACACACATTTTGGAATGAGGTGAAGTAAATTAAAAATAAGTTGGGACAGACCATATTTAGATGTCCATATGTAACTTTTTTATTTACAAGTTTATTTTTCATATACATAAAATTATCTAATCTACTCTTTCCCCACCCCTCCCAGCCTAGAATGACACAGCAAAGGGAAGCAGAAGGAAAATGGCCTTCGTTCTGTGTCAAGCAACAAGAGCTAAGCCTAGCCATGTTCTCTTGGACTGTTTGATATTCTCAATCATCCACATGAGAACGCATATACACTATCTTCTCCAAAAGACAAATTTAATAGCTTCTAGCACCAGCCTTTTCCATGGCTTATTAGCAATGAGGTACCTGTCTCAGAGGATATTTCAGCAATAAAGCGGCATGCTTTTAGGGAAAGTGTGCATTATTTTAAGATCTAATGTGGTCAAGAAAGTGAGAATCACTATCAGATGACTTGAATAACCACTTTGGTAATGACAACCACGTTAAGTAGGTCTGAGCAGAATACTGAAATTTATTCTGAAAAGGGGAAACTCTCCTTGGGAATCTGAATTTTATTGAAATGTAGAAAAAAGAGAAAATTGCAACAGTTATGAGGTTGTTAATTAGCTCACTGATTTTTGCTGGCAGTAATAGGACAAAGCCCATATGACAGGAGAAGACATGTGAAATGACTGCAGAACACATAAAAAGTCCTTCTTATCAAGAAGTAAAGTTAAAGGGTAACTTATAAGGGAGAGATGCCAGGATCTGTGTTTAATGATAAAGTCAGCCTATCAATGAGAAAACTCCTCCAACTGTTCCTTGAGGTGGGACGCTGGCCTGTCTAGGCTGTGCTTAAGGGCTCAGTGCCGGCAATAAGTGCTTAGTATTAATTAATCCATCACTTTGAAAACTATTTCTGTGGTGGTAAGAAGACCTCATTTCACTTTTAAGATACAATATTAAAGTTCAATTTTAATCCACACTTTGAGCCAGTCTAAAAGTTCTATAAATGATATTTAAAATTAATTATGATTGTTCATAAGTGGTAACTAAAAGCTGTAAAAAAAAATGCCTTAAATGTGCTTCCCCTACATCTGTGATAAGGTCATACCCATACCACGAATATTTTAACATTTTTATCCCTAAATAGTACATAACTATTGGATCTTTTCAAAGACAAGCATTATTGCTACTTTAAGTGGCTGGCTTCTACAAAGTTGATGCTGTCTGCAGTAATTTTTTCCAAAATAGTGAGAAAAACCCTAACTTTGTTTCGCCCTTTAGAGTTCAAACATCTTATCAATGCAATTCTTTGACTAATGAAGTCAGTTCTTCTTGTACAGTTTTGAAATGGCCAGGATGATTCCACAGAAAAAAAAAATTATCCAAAAAAGACCCAGTGTTAAATAAAACTGGATGGTATTATGAAATTCTGAAAAGCACAGTTTCCATGGCTTAATAGTTCTAGAATTACACATTCCAGATTAGCAGCTTCTTTTTTTTTTTTTTTAAAGATACCAACCTCCATTCTTTTAATTCCTCCAACCCCTCGACCACCATAATAGGAAGCATCCACAGTTGGCCATTTCTTCGTAGGCAGAGGTTCTTCTTCTTCCTGTGTAGAATATTACAAGTTTTTAAAAGTGGGTTTAATTAATTTCTTAAAATACCGGTTAGAACTAACACGCATTTAAACATTTTTCTGAATAATGACACTGATATGGAAGAAATAGAGTAACAATTATATACGGGGCATTTGGATGTACTTATGCCTACATCCATAAATTTCAAGTGGAGTTCTACAGAATATAAGGACTCCCGCCCTCCCAATTTTAGGAATCTCCTTTATTTCACCAGATTACCAGAAGTTGCTCCTTAACTATGAGCAGCATCATTTGTTTTTTTTTTCCAATTCTATTTGTTACTTCAAATTTAAAAAGATAAGACATTAAATGTAGGAAAGCATTTCAAAAACCATTTAAAGCATCAACATACATATTAAGTTAAACTGCAAAACTGGTACTAAAAAGATAGGTAGTTAAGAAGTTTTGAAAATGCACTACTTCCATATTTCATGTTGCTAACGTAAGTTTGGCTAAAGTAATAATCATTTTGAAGAAAGGATGAACACCTTTAAACTTCCAGCTTGGATCTTCTACCTTTCTATAGATAAAATAAGTAACATCAGGACTATTGATCTATTGATAGACAAAGTAAAGTAAATCTCCGTGCACTATTAAGCCTCACGGCCAGTCTATATTTATCAGTTTTTGAAGGTCCTATTCCTCTAGCACATGAAAGAACTCATAAGAAGATGAAAAATAATAATGAATTTTCATAAATTCAAAAGTCAATACATAGGTATCACAGTTATCCAACAGCAAGGTAATTGATCAAATTTGGGGATAATATCTAAATACAGAAAAAAATATCCACATCACTCATTAGGCACTTATTTACCTCTTTTGGTGCAGGAGGTGGTGGTGGAGGAGGATCCTTGATAACCTGTCCAAAAAAAAACCAAAAACCAAAGGTAAAAATTTTGGTGGCATAACAAGGAGACAGCAAAGATGTGTAAAAATAACTCGATTAGTAACATACAGTGGTACTGCCAAAGATGTCCCCAGTGAACCTTGCCTCTCAATGGGTATGCCTCTCCCTTTGAATACAGTCTCTCCTGTAACAGGCTTTTGACTAACTAGCATGAGGTAGACGTGGTGCCATGTGACTTCTGCAGCTGGTCAAGAGAAGTTTTTCCACTTCCCTCAGCATCCCTGGGACACTCACTCTGGAGGAAGCCTGCTGTCACGCCAGAAGTCTACCTTGAGACCATCGGGCCAGGAGGAGGAAGAACCCCAGGATAACCTTACAAAAAGGCTGGGTGATGAGAGGTGCCTGGCCAGGCCCCAGCTATATCAGCCATCCCAGCAGAAGCTCCAAACATGGCTCTCTTGGACCTGGAGGCCTGTCGAGCTTTCAGATGACTCCAGCCCAGCTGCCCCCTGATTGCAATCACATGAGAGAACCCCAGAGTGATAATCTCCTAGCTGAGCCAGTCTCCACAGAACCGTGAAGACACTAAATTGTTTGAAGACCCTAGGTTGTGGAGTGGTCTGTTAGACAGTGCTAGATAACAACCACATAACAATTCACAGAACTCTTTCATTCATTCATTTTATCTTTATGCCATAGATATGCAAACATTTTCCAGAAGACTATGGTATGTCCCTTCAAACAGAGCAGGAATTTACTACTGAAATCTTTCTTCTAAGACTCATTGACTTTTTCATAAATTTACAATGCACAAGTTAACTTGCTTTGCAAGAGATGATGGGGAAATTAACTTATCTCTTTCCCCACCCATTAATCTAGAAGCAAATCAACTTTTTAACCAAGATGCCTTTTCTATGAATCATTACTCAATATATTCTTTCATGAAATTGTATATGGCTGATTCTTCATGTGAGAGGAATGAAGCCTGAGATCTGATCTAAATGACCTCTACCAGCACTGAGGTAGATAACCTTTCACACCATCATGATATAAAATTATTGATCAGGGGCACCTGAGTGGCTCAGTCGGTTAAACATCTGACTTGACTTCAGCTCAGGTCATGATGTTAGGATTGTGAAATCGAGCCCTGCATTGGGCTCTGTGCTGGGTGTGAAGCCTGCTTAAAATTCTCTCTCCCTCTTCTCCCTCTGTCCTTCCCCCAGATTAAAAAAAAAAAAAAAAAAAGGTAAAAGAAAATCATTGACCAAGTGCCAATGGCTTCTGATAATTCAAGTACACATCCAAGTCTCTAGACTAAGAGAAAAAATTGTCTGAAAATGTCCCAGGGATGCTTCACTTTATAACTGCATCCCCTTTCTCCACATCCTCACCATCTGTTGTTTCCTGTGTTGTTAATTTTAGCCATTCTGACTAGGGTGAGGTGGTATCTCATTGTGCTTATGATTTGTATTTTCCTGATGGTGAGTGATGTTGAGCATCTTTTCATGTGTCTATTAGCCATTTGGATGTCTTCTTTGGAAAAGTGTCTATTCATGTCTTCTGCCCATTTCTTAACTGGATTATTTGTTTTTTGGGTGTTGGGTTTGATAAGTTCTTTATAGGTTTTGAGACCAGCCCTTTATCCAATATGTCATTTGCAAATATATTCTCCCATTCCAGAGGTTGCCTTTTAGTTTTGTTGTTTCCTTTGTTGTGCAGAAGCTTTTTATCTTGATGAAATCCTATTAGTTAATTTTTGCTTTTGTCTCCTTTGCCTTTAGAGACATGTCTAGTAAGAAGTTGCCATGGCTGAAGTCAAAGAGGTTACTGCCTGTTTTCTCCTCAAGGATTCTAATGGTTACCTGTCTTACATTTAGATCTTTCATCCATTTTGAATTGATTTTTGTGTATGGTGTAAGACAGAGGTCCACTTTCATTCTTCTGCATGTTGCTGTCCAATTTCCCCAACACCACTTGTTGAAGAGACTGTCTTTTTTTCCATTGGACATTCTTTCCTGCTTTGTTGAAGATTAGTTGGCCATACAATTGTGGGTCCATTTCTGGGTTCTTTATTCTGTTCTATTGATCTATGCATCTGTTTTTGTGCCAGCACCATATTGTCTTAATGATTACAGCTTAAAGTCAGGAATTGTGATGCCTCCGCTTTCCTTTTCTTTTTCAATATTACTTTAGCTATTCAGGGTCTTTTCTGATTCCACACAAATTTTAGAAGTGTTTGTTCTAGCTCCGTGAAAAAAGCTGGTGTTATTTTTATAGGGATTGCACTGAATACGTAGATTGCTTTGGGTAGTTCAGACATTTTAACAATGTTTATTCTTCCAATCCAAGAGCATGGAATGTTTTTCCATTTCTTTACGTCTTCTTCAATTTCTTTCATAAATGTTCTATAGTTTTCATCATACAGATCTTTTACTTCTTTGCTTAGGTTTATTCCTAGGTATCTTACGATTTTTGGTGCAATTGCAAATGGGATCAATTCTTTGATTTCTCTGTCTGCTGCTTCATTATTGGTGTATAGAAATGCAACAGATTTCTGTACATTGATTTTATATCTTGTAACTTTGCTGAATTCATGTATTACCACTAGCAATTTTTTGGTGGAACCTTTCAGGTTTTCTACATGGAGTATCATGTCATCTGCAAATAGTGAAAGTTTGACTTCTTCCTTGCCAATTTGGATGCCTTTTATTTCTTTCTATTGTCTGATTGCTGAGGCTAGGACTTCTAGTATTATGTTGAATAACAGTAGTGAGAGCAGACATCCCTGTCATGTTCCTGACCTTAGTGGAAAAACTGTTTTTCCTCATTGAGGATGATATTAGCTGTATGTGGCATTTGTATATGGCCTTTATGATGTTGAGATATGTTCCTTCTATCCCTACTTTCTTGAGGGTTTTTATCAAGAAAGAATGCTGTATTTTGTCAAATGCTTTTTCTGCATCTATTGAGAGGATCATATGGTTTTTATCCTTTCTTTCATTAATGTGGTGTATCACACTGATTGATTTGCAGATGTTGAACCACCCCTGCAGCCCAGGAATAAATCCCACTTGATTATGGTGAATAATCATTTTAATGTACTGTTGGATTCGATTAGCTAATATCTTGAGAACTTTTGCATCCATGTTCATCAGGGATATTGGTCTATAATTCTCTTTGGCGGGGTCTTTGGTTTTGGAATCAAGGTATTGCTGGCCTCATAGAATGAGTTTGAAGTTTTCCTTCCATTTCTATTTTTTGAAACACCTTCAGAAGAAAAGGTATTAATTCTTCTTTAAATGTTTGGTAGAATTACCTGAGAAGTCCTCTGGCCCTGGGCTGTTTGCTGGCAGATTTTTGATTACTGCTTCAATTTCTTTGTTGGTTATGGGTCTGTTCAAATTTTCTATTTCTTCCTGTTTCAGGTTTGGTAGTTTATATGTTTCTAGGAATTTATCCATTTCTTCCAGATTGCCCAATTTGTTGGCATATAATTGCTCATAATATTCTCTTATAATTTGTTTGTATCTCTGCGGTATTGGTTGTGATCTTTCCTCTTTCATTCGTGATTTTATTTATTTGGGTCTTTTCTCTTTTCTTTTCAGTAAGTCTGGCTAGGGGTTTATCAACTTTGTTAATTCTTTCAAAGAACCAGCTCCTAATTTCATTGACCTGTTCTACTGTTTTGTTTTTTTTCTACATCATTTATTTCTGCTCTAATCTTAATTCTTTCCCTTCTTCTTCTGGTTTTAGGCTTTATTTGCTGTTCTTTTTCCAGCTCCTTTAGGTGTAAGGTTGGGTTGTGCATTTGAGACTTTTCTTGCTTCTTGAGGTAGGCCTATACTGTTATATACTTCACTCTTGTGACTGTCTTTGCTGCATCCCAAAGGTTTTAGACTGTCATGTTTTCACTTTCATTTGCTTCCCTGTATTTTTTTAATTTCTTCTTCAATTTCCTGGTTGACCCATTCATTCTTTGGTAGGATGTTCTTTAACCTCCATGTATTTGTGGTCTTTCCAAATTTTTTCTTGTGGTTGACTTCAAGTTTCATAGCATTGTCATCTGAAAATATTCATGGTGTGATCTCAATCTTTTTGTACTGGTTGAGACCTGATTTGTGACCCAGGACGTGATCTATTCTGGAGAATATTCCACATGCACTCAGAAAGAAATGTGTATTCTGCTGCTTTAGGATGAAATGCTCTGAATATGTCTGTTAAGTCCATCTGGTCCAGTGTGTCATTCAAAGCCATTGTTTCCTTGATCTTCTGCTTAGATGATCTGTCCATTGCTATAAGTGGGGTGTTAAAGTCCCCTACTATTACTGTATTATTATCAATGAGTTTATTTGAGTTTGTTATTAATTTACATATCTGGCTGCTCCCAAGTTGGGGACATAAATATTTACAATTGTTAGATCTTTGTGTTGGATAGACACCTTTATTATGACATAGTGCCCTTCTTCATCTCTTATTACAGTCTTTGGTTTAAAATCTAGTTTGTCTGATGTAAGTATGGCTACTCCAGCTTTCTCCTGGTGTCCATTAGCATACCAGAAGGTTCTCCGCCCCATCACATTCCATCTGGAGGTGTCTTTGGGTCTAAAATGAGTCTCTTGTAAGCAGCTTATCAATGGGTCTTGTTTTTTTTGTTTTTTGTTTTATCCATTCTGATACCCTATGTCTTTTGATCAGAGGACTGAGTCCATTTACGTTCAGAGTCATTATTAATAGGTATGAATTTAGTGCCATTGTATTACCTGTAAAGTCACCATTCTGTAGATTACCTCTGTGCCTTTCTAGTCTTTGTTGCTCTTGATCTCTCCTTCCTGCTGAAAGGGTCCCCTTTAGTATTTCTTGCAATGGATATTGTTTTTAAAAGACTGCTTATCATTTAAAGATATATACTGAAAAATTTTCAGATTAAATGATATGATTCTGATACTTCACCAAAATAATTTGGGGTGGGTAAGTGGAGGGGGTTATAGATGAAATAAGATCAGTCATAAATT